CTCAGTTGACTGCAGGAAACTGAAACCATGGAAGAAAACTACAGATAGGGGGCACTAGTGTAGTTTAATAATACGTACAAAATAAAGAAATACAAAACAGAGATTCTCTGCCCCACCGCCATCAATTCACACTATTCAGAGGCAATCACTTTCAACTCCTTTAGCTCTTAGTGATTTCCCTAGTATTTTCAAGAAACCCCATGTATTGCTACATATTTATTCATTTTCAGTTTTAGAATATTGAGCTTCTCACACATCACTGCCCATCCCCACCCCCACTTCCTTTCTACACATCATCCTAACCAGTATTATCATAACTTTTTATTAGATCAGTATTTAATGTATATATTCTTGGGACTATGTAAACATTATTCACTACTGGATCATATTGGGCACTGTGATTACATTTCTTGTAAAAACTTTTTGTTTCTCCTGGAGTTGATAATGTGGTCTCACTTTGTTTTCTTAGTTTTATATATACCCATCACTAATTCATCATTCATTCCCCGCACTCTCTGCCAGAACTGTGAATCTCCTCTCAATATGTTCAAACTGTCAGGCATCCTATCAATACTATCTATTTTTGCAGCCCTCTGCTCTCTTGCTCCAAGCTGGGCTGCTCTACAGCTGTCATCTTGGCACTTTCTGTTATTCTCCATGATTTTCTTGGAGATTCTCTTCTGTATTAGTGTCCCCTTTCGTCTGGATCCCATGTTTTCCTGTTTTTTTCCCCTCTTTACTTTGGTGAAGCACATTCTCCTGTGTACACAAGACTAACATTTTTGCTGCTTTACATATTTGAAAATCTCTTTTTTTACCCCACACTTGATTGATGTGGGGTAGAATTCTAGGTTGGACATAATTTTCTCTTAGCATTTGAAGGTATTACTCTATTTTGTTTGAGCTTTCAATGTTACTTAAAAGTCCTATTGTTTTGATTTCTCTGTGTATTAATTATCTATTGTTGTCTAACAAGTTGCCACAAAGCTTAGTGGCTTAAAACAACAAACATTTATCTCACAGTTTCTGAGGGTCAGGAATCAGATGTGATTGGTTGAGTGTCTCTGACTCAAGGTCTGTCATGCAGCTGCATCA